TAATTCTTTTTCCTCCAGAAGTTTGCATTTAGCAAAAGGCAACTTGAAAGTGTGTAAGAGGTGACTCTTAAGATGAGAGAGGCCAACATACTGTATTTCTCATTCATAATCCTCTTCCGTAATCCTAATCCATTTCAGATCTGTAGCCTTTCTTAAGCATCACATGGGAGAGGATTCTTAAGGCTGCTCAGAACAACTGTGCAGTAAATAAATCGAAGGGTCTGCACTTGTTGCAGGACAGCACGCACGTTCTGTACTGCAGATGCCGAAAGACATGGCACTTTGTGCCGCGTGCCCGAGGGAGCAGCTTACCTGTTTATTGAGATTCTGAGGAGGAGGTTCTGAATCTCGAAGAGATTATCGAGCACTTTGGGCACTGAATAGAAACAAAAATATAAGTGGAGAGCTACTATTGTGTTTATCTGAATAATCCATAAGTTAGAAATCGGTGGCAAGGTAAGTTGCCTTTTTCTTTCTATTTTTCTGTAACGATGTTTTGTGTTCAGAAGTAGTTACTCGGCACCTCCACATAGTTGGAGGTGAAATATCCTTGATATATGTCAAGCTGTATAAAACTGCAGTTGGGAGTTTTCTATCTGAAATTCTCATTTTTGGCACCGCAGCAACTGTGCAGGTACAGTTGCATGCATAAAATAAAACAAGCTTCGCCATCTCGTTTCCGGCTACAAGACGTGCCGAGTTTGATGGACACGTGGGATACACATAGGTATTTACTCTGGGAGAGCAAGGCAGGATCATCACTTTCCCTAGTGCCAGCTAGCGTTTTTATTCTTGGGAGAAGTATTTGAATTTTTTTTTTTTTAATTCATCTGTAGCTCTTAAACAAACCATTACTGTTTTTTCTTCTAGCAAAACTTAAAATTTCTGTTTCCCTCCAATATCTCTTTCAGGTTTTTTCCTAGTAAACTTCCAGTAAGTCTGCTGTATCCTCTCATTGCCTTCCAGATTCTGCTCATCTCTTCCCTCAGCTGTTCCAATGTCTATAAAATTGTTAAGTTTGCGGGGATTCAGTTGTGCATGTGCTACATGAAGTGTGTCATCCTTTCCTAGGAGCCCTGTTTTGGAGTTAGCTTCACGTTAGCGTCTGCGTTCCTTGCAGGAAGTCTTCAATTCACGTGCGTGGAGCACCAAATTCTGCACAGATCTTTAAAGCTCAGTGATGTGACAGAGCGTGTAGGATTTGATTCAAAATGCTGTCACTTGCTTTGGTTTTGAAGGAGTTAAAATAGTATTTACGGTAAGCCAGGAAATTAACCTAGGCTTTTGTTGTTCTTGTTTTGAGGTGGTTGATACAAATGGATTTGTGCAAGTTCTCCTTTAATGATTGTTATGTGGTATTGTAGGGTAGTATTACGCGAATCAGCAGCTAGTGTTTTAAGCATTGTAAAAATGAGCGTATTATCTGTTGGCTCAGGAAGTGTATGTGGAGCGTGGCTGTTAAACGTTTCTCCTGCCTTTAGAACGCTAACTCTGGTGAACAGGGAACGTGCGTCTTTTCTACGTGTCTGTGGCCTTCTACCGAGGCGGTGAACTTTGCTGTTCTGTTAGTTGTCCGTGTCCATGTGTGGCTCGAGTCCATGCTTTTTTTTTGGTGGTGGTGTAGTTCTGTCCTGGTGTAAATGCATACAGTGGGTTTTATCACCTTGCTTTACTTGGCACGCCTATTTGCTAGCAGATGCTCTACGCAGTGGCACGTACCGGGGAAAGCCTCATAGGAATGCGTTGCAGCTTCTCAGAAGGCGTGGGGAAAGCCTGCTTTAGAGGCCTTCTAGCTGCACCAGAGAAAATGTAAATGTCTCTGCAGGAGAGGGGACTGGTGGCCAAGAGCAAGCTATCTGTCGCTGCGTCATTTTGCCTCAGCTGGTTGTTCAATACAGCCTGTATTTGAGATTATGCTACTGTTCAACTTCATCAAGTCTTCCAGGCTATGTCTTTATGGCCCCCTGTTCCTCCTCTTTTTCTTGGTACAGGTTTTTAGGAAGAGCAGTGGTGCGTGTCACTGTTGGGTGGATGAGGAAGGATCAGAGGTGCTGAGCAGTTGGACTGGCCCTATTGCTTCCTCGCTCCTTAAACAGGTTTGATTCCACTGGAGTTTCTGGTTTACTGCTGTGCACTCCTTTGCTCAGGCTGTGGCCCTCAGAAAAATCTGAGAGTAACCAAGTGAAAAAGTTTGCAGCTCCAGGAATTGTTTGGGAGAGACCTGTTGACAAAACCATCACGATAAGATAAATAGGTAGGTGCTGTCGCATGTGCTTGCTCTTTGCAGGTGCTCCTCGGGCTCGCCAATACTAGACCATCCCTCGGTACGGATGGCCAAAATTTAGGTTTAAAGTAGGGCTGTCCGTATAACAAATGCTTGTTTGTTTTGCAGGGAAGGAGGGAAATGAGGAAGAGTTTTATTCTGTGTCTGCAAAAGTGCTCTCAAATGCAAGGTCACGTTTTATCAAAAGAGATAGGCAGTATCCCTGAATGCATCCTAAGCAAGCAAAGTACCTAACTCTGTACTTGCTTCATATTTGTTCTCCATTTTTAAAAAGTGATCTGGAAGTGTTTTAGCTCCTGGAAAAGGAATTTGGATGGATGGATTTTTTCCTCATGTTTGCATTTTTAAAGGTATCTTTAAAGGCAGTCACCTTTTCCGAAAAGCTGAAGCGCCCGTTTTCCTTTGAGGCTGGTACCGTCAAGTTCCTAAGCAGTGCTGAAGACACACACGTAGGCACGCAGGCTGTGTTGACCTCCGGTGTGGAGGAGCAGTTGTCTACGCTAACCATGTTTCAGGGTTTTTTTCCTTGGGATTGGCTTGAATCCGGTCCTGTGGACCGACCTCCCGTTAGTACCTGGAGTGTGTCTTCTGGTGTCATTTCACCTGAAAGGAACCTGAGTCCTGCTGTTTCAGAGTGCCCTGCCAGCTTATTCCAGAATGCAGTAAGCAGAGGGGCTTGGGGATGACTGTTTCTAAAGCAAGCTCCCGACACAGAGCAAATCATTGGTCTCATTCCTTCTCTGGATAGCTAATACTTGCTGAAATCTTAAGATCTGTGTCTTTGAAAAGAAATTTTTTCTTTGGATAGCCAGACGGGAGTTCTACACTGAGAAATTCTGAGCTTGAAAATTTGTTTTTCCTGAAATGGGATTTGCCTTCTACAAAAGTTACAAGTAAGAGCCTTAAATGCTAGGTATTCTGATTTTTGTGTGCAGTTTTCTGTTTGAAGAGTTAATAATCTGAAAAGTTGTCAGAGTACCTGCATTATTTAAGCACAAAGGCCATAAAGCACCAGATATGATTGGGCATAATTCAGCAGTGATTTCAGGCCATTTTTGACGCTGGTATGAAATAGTGCTGTTAAAACTAAAGCGATTGGTATTTTGTTGAGAGCATTGCTACGTATCCTCCTGTTGCATCACCCGGTTAATGTGAAGATGTCATTGTGCACTTTGGCATCCTGGACAAGGTAGAGAATTTCAGCATTTCATCTGCCTTAGAAACTTTCCAAGCTGAAATGTTGCTTAGGACAGCTCATCTTCCTGAGCAAACACTCCACACACGCACCTTATACAACACCGGACGTGCTCCTTCAATTAGCGTTTGTGCAGATCTGTAGCTATTTTGAGAGGAAAGACGTGGGTTAGGTGGAAAGAGATTGAAGGAGGCAAAAGGATTGTGGGAAGTGAGAAAAGAAGGACTTTCTCCTCTGCCGGGAAGAAGCGCCTCTGTAGTCACACTGTCCTGACCCTTCAAAATCATCTGAGTTGTGGGCTCCTGCTAGCACCACGCTTAACATTTTTACATGTGTTTATTTCCTTTCCTCCCTTTCTCAGCTTTCTCCTCCCCCAGTTCCCGGTAAGAAAACAAACCTGTATAATTCTTAGGCGATACAGCCTAGGACCGCTTTGGCAGTATTACCTGATTGTTTTGGGTTTTTTTCCAGAGGAAACGTGTTTCACTGAATGACATTCTGGTTGTCTTCAAACTGAGAGATTTCAGAATTTGACCTAATCTTGAAATAGGATCCGTTTGCTCTGACCAGAGCTTCCCACAGCAGCGAGGTTACAAAAGTCTGGCTGTCCTGTCCTTTTATACTGGCCGGGATCTGAGCAATTAATGGTATAATATGCTGCCATGCTCAAGCAGATCCACGAGGTGAAGGAAAGCAGTGTTTAACAAAGCTGATTATTTTCTTATGATAGCTAATTGTTATTTCAGACTTAGCTCCCCCCTAGCTGTGGTACTGCAAATAGATTTAAATACCATCTGTGTGTTCATCCCTCATCGTGAGTTATCCTTCGCAGATGGCTATACACATGAATATTTGTCTGCATATACTGATTATTAATGAATTACCTTAATAACTTTTATGGTTCCTGATCAGTATTGAAAAACTGTTTTTTTCTATACTGTGTACGAACGCCTCCCACCCGCAGTCATGTGTAGTAGTTTAGCACCTTCATCCAGGTGCTTTGGCTGTGCATCAGGAAGGGAGGAGGTAGCATGAGGATTCGGAGATGTAGTCTGCTCTCAGACCTCAATCAAGAGTATTGTATTGTAGCATCTGAAATGAATGTTCGGGTCAAAGACTGCATGTTGCTATAAGAGTTTAGGAGCCCAAAATTAGCCATGTGAGGCATGGTGAGAGTACACGAATGCCTGAGTTATACACATCTACCGTACAATTACAGTAGCTATATAGGCAATCCTTGCTATTTTTATACAAGTAGGAAAGGTGCTGAAATGATTCCTATTCATATAGCTGACTTGAAATTTGAAACAGGAAGACAGAAATCCTCATCTCAGATTGTCTAAAAGACAGCAAAGTGGCTGGAAAAACCTGGTACCGGAAGATGTACTTGGGCACAAGACAAGCCATCTGCTCGTCGATCTTAATAAGTGTTAATATATTTAATTATAGATTCTCGGCACTGTGGGACATGTTGCAACTGTTTTGATTCTGACTGAATGGTCTTTCCTGCATCTCTTGTGTGGTGTTGGTGATACTGGGCCAGTCTGCAACGTTCTAGGAGCATTGGTTGGAGACCATGGGATCTGGTAGTTCTGTAAATGCCAACTACAAGTACTCCCTGCAGAAGTCTGAAAATGGTGAGTGATTCTTTGAAAAGTAATCTTTTCCTGTCTGCTCCTGCACATGCCGTCGGGAGGTTGCGGTGCATGTGTTTCTGTTCCGAGATACCTGGTTTTCTTCGTAGTATTGACGTGAGGTGATGTCTTTCAGTATCCTGTGACAAGGAGTCTCAGCTGTCAGGCAGAAGACTGACAGGCTTGAGAAAATAACAGCTATTTCGACCAGGATTAGATTAAAATCAATCAAAACCCGACCAGAAACGAAGCAGCAAAAAGCAATTCAGTTAGAACTAACATCTGATGGATTCATCAATTGCTGGCTAATATGCGTGCATTGTCACGTGCTGACAGCGAGATAGCTGGTATCACCCTGCTGCTTCTGGTGGGCTCCATTTTTAAAGACTGTTAGTGGCGCAGGACTGATAGAGCAGAAGCATTAGCAAAGTCAAAATAAATCTGGTTCTAAAGAAGGTAAGACGATGTGGCTAAGAAAAGCTGGAAAGCAAAAAGCGTGCTTTTTTCTGATTACATCAGCGCAATGCTTTTAGTCTCTGCTAATAATCTAGACTTGTTTATGGCTCTCAAAGCTATAATGATTTATTTTTATGAAACCCTCTGTATGATAGTGTCAGTTTTCTGGGTATGTGGTTAGGTCTGCTGTGGAACAAAGCGAGTTTAGGAGCGGGGCTTTACACATAAGGCAGGGTAAAAAAGTAAACAGATTACTTTGCTGTTTGAATCATTCGGTCATCAGCATTGGCGGAACAGCAGTATGGTGCAAACTGTTTGCAAGTGCTTTGAAAAGAAAAATAGTGATTGTGTTTAGAAATGAAGAAAGCAGGGATACCGTTGTGCCTCAGTCTTTTCTGTTTGTAATTGTTGTTTTTTGAAAAACTCCACCTTTTATTTAAGTAAGTTAGACTCGTCTATTGCTTATAGCACCAGAGAACCATGGACTTTCCCAGCAAGTTCAGGGCTGTTTTATTATAATGGCTTGTCTATAGCAAACAAAGTATAACATAAAACTAGTTACTTATTTGAAACCCTGCATTAGATCTGATACCTCATCAACAGCTTCCCATGGCAGTAAAACCCCTCTGAATTTCTTGCATCTGGTTCTCAAAATCCTTCAGATCTTTTAGTTTGCTTTCAGTAGCTTATATGATGATGTATGATTCAGTTTACTGCTCGGATCCTCGTGAAATGTGGATAAATCTCTTTCTCTTCCTTTTTTATTATTTTTTTCTTAACTAGTACAAACACTGCCAGATGAAACTCACCCAGGTAAGCTGGTAAATTAGAATACCTGGCTTTTTCAGTTGCAGAGTCAGTCTCTGTAAAAGTAGTGGAAAAAAACAATGCCTTGCCCATCTGGAGCTTAAAATACTCACTGTGCGCTTGATAACGAGTCTTTCATAGATTTGATTTTTACTGTCTCAAAGGATCTAGTTTTCATCGGTAAATGTGGAGTCATAACTATGAACTTCTGCTCGGGATTCAGTTGAAATACATCTGACTCTTACTGCAGTAATTGGACGTTTATCCCCTGTGGATAGGGGATCAGGGGAATGCAAGATACTTAGAAGTTGTTTATTTTAGAGAGTGATTGTGACTGTGATTCTGGTTACATGCCAGCCAAATTACTGTTCAGGGAGTAAGGCAGCTAGTGTTGGGTCTATTATAAAGGAGGCTTGAAGAGGAGCACCAAACCGCAGAGAAGAATGTCAGCCTTTTTAATTTTTCATAGCCCAGCACATCAGTAATCATTTTCTCAGCAAGATACAAGGCTCATGCAAAGAACGCATAAGTTACTCCTGAACTATGGTTAACCAGTCTTACCGTCTTGCCCACGACTTCACCGCGACTCAGTTCCCCAGCTGCACAGCAGCAATAGCTCTTCCCTTTTTGTGCTCTGCAGCTTCTAGTGCTGTAACAGTAACATAATTTAGAAGGATTATTATTTTCAATGCATGAGCCATCAGTATATCTTATTTAGGTAAAGGTCAATACCTCCTGC